TTTTTTTAGAAACTTATTTTATCAACAATAATGGACAGCACGTATCGCCTTTTGGACCAGTGATTTGCATTCTTACAACACTTACAAAGAGCTTCAAGCAAAGACTGTCATCCACGCCTTTAAATTTCGATCTAGCTAAACAATCAAGTACTCCGTCAGATTGTTTGGGGGTTAGTTCATCGAGGTAATTGGTGATCAAACGCCATCCTTTATTGGTGTAGAAATGCTTAGTACGCTCTGAGGCTTCATTCCACGGAGCAGAAAGTACATGTCGAATGAAACTGACATCTCTTGATTGAAAATACATAATTTATTCAGTTTGCCTCTCGGGGACGACAAACTAACATCCAGAGACACGTCTACATGTAATGCATAATCTGTGGTGTATTCAAAGCGAAACTATTAAAATATGAGAAATAGAACTGACGTAAACTGAATTAGAACATAACTAAATAATAAACGACTAATTAAAGTATTTTTATTTGAATCTGTACCCATGATGACCAATGGTAATACTACTCGCCTCACCTGGCTGATACTAACTGCAGGGCGTGTCTACAAGGGTGGACTCTACAGAATAAATACAACTTGGTGACGCAATTATTGTTAACTGTTGAAAAACATTCATAAATGATTTTCGGAGCGCATGCCATCAAGAGGTACAACAATAATAAAACAGGAATTAAACTCGATCGCAAGCAAATAGAATGATTTCCTGAACCAACCGGAATAAGATACCCTGTTTCGTGGAAAATCAGCTGAGAATCCACTTTCCCTAACCCTCTGTCTGCTTTGAGTAGCTTCTTTGCTTTATGCCTGGAAATATTTTCTGGCAATCTGCACTTGGTATTTACCCCTTGAGTCCATCCAAGACCAAGTCTTGAGCGATGATGCATGTGGGCATATTGTCCATGTATCAACATCGTTGGGTCGTTGGAAAAAACAGCTGCTGTACTCAATATCAAGCCATACTCGGTGAACATACCAGCAGACGAAAAATGAGCTAAATGCCCTGCTATGTCCTTGTCACACAACAGCAAAGGTACTATTCGCCTATCCCCTTTTCTATCTTTTGGATTGTAGCCACAATAATTCACAACAAGAGATTCAAACGAACAACAAATTTCCATTCTTCAAAATATTTAAACTCAGTTGTTTACTTGTTGCGCAAAGTTTTATCAGATGAAATTAACTGTGACGTTACGTTTTATTGCTACAATACTTTACAATACAATACTTTATTTACCCACGCTACATCTAGGAGTGATAAAAACTCGTTAAAACATGTGCGTGAAACAAAAAACATTTTTAAAAAAATTAATAAAATCTATTAAATCTATTCAATTTATCTAAAAAATCTGCTTCTTTAAAACACATTTAAAAGTAGAAATATCCTTGGCGTTTCTAACATACTTAGGTAACGAATTCCAGAGTTTTGCCGCCAAATAAAAGAGAATGACTTATGGCGCCATTCTAGATTAAAATTGGGTAGCGTTAAAAGTGTCCCCGACCCTCTCTTAGATTATAATTACAGATTTTAGTCTTAAAGAAATCTTCTATGTACCTTGGGGCTTCTTTGTTAATACATTTATATACCAAAACTAGGGCCTGGAATTTTCTTCTTTCTTCTAACTTTCTTATACCAGCCATATTTAATAAATGGTTGTATGGCTTGGTGTATGCTTTCCATACCCTAAAATAGATCTAAGAATATAATTCCAATTTTGTAACTTGACCTCTTCCAACTCCAAGTAATAGCGGACAACAATATTCTAAATGAGGCAAAATATATGCTTTATGAGGGGGGCATTGGGGCCTCTGGGAAACCGATGAACTGGAGAAAAAAACCTCCAAAACCGAAATAACGACGAAAAAAGGCAGCAAAACCGAAAACTGCATGCAAACCTGACAAAACCGCTACATTTTCACCTTTAAAGGGGGTCAAAAAGGATAAACCGAAAACCGCATTAGACTGAGTTTTCGTGAAAACCGAAAACCGAATGCAAAAACACGTAAAATCCGCAAACCGCTCTGAACATCAAAACCGAAAAACCGCCGGGCCTTTTTGGCCCAAAAACCAAAAAACCGATCCAAAAAAAACAGTCAAAACCGCAAAACCGAAAATCCCAAAGCCCCCCTCCTTTATAAAGGCGGCACATTACGTCTAAAGGAATAAACCTGCGAATCCTCCGTAACGCAGAGGCTTTGGCACCACGCCTTTTTTTACTTGTTTGGACACAGGAGCGACAAAATTGAGCTTACGATCTAATGTAACACCAAGGATTTTAAGTGTATCATTAGCATCCACTTCATTGTTATCTACACTGAAGTTATAAAGATATGATACTGGACCTATAGCCATTGCCTGTGTCTTAGATGCATTGATCTGGAGATAGTTTTGCCGAAGCCATGTTGACGATATATGTGAATCAGAATTACTAATTTATTCTAAAACTGGAGAGGAAGCGTCCGATGCATATTCAGTAGTGTCGTCCTGATCTGCATACAACCGTAGAGAGGCGTTTGTAACCTGAAAGTTCAAATCATTAATGTAGATATTAAAAAGCAAAGGGCCAAACAGGGACCCCTAAGGGACCCCAGCTTTGACAGGTTTCCAGTCAGAGTACAAGCCGTCCAATTTGACCCCCTGTCTCCTATCTTGCAAGTAACTACTCATCAATTCCAATGCTTGATCTGTGAAGCCATAGGCTCTGAGTTTTGCAAGCTGTAGGCCATGGCATACAGAATGGGTGGGTTTGTCGGAGCTTAAACCTCGCAGGGGACCTATGTCCTATTGTTTCTGCTCCTGTACTTGCTACAAATCCTCAAATAAATAAATCAATCAAACGCCGTACTCAGGTCAATTGCAAGCGTAGCAACAGCCTCTCTGTTGCCAAGGCTCAACCTCCAATCTTCTACCATTTTAAATTATTATTATCATTATTATTATTATTATTATTATTATTATTATTATTATTATTATTAACAATGCAGTACAACAGGAGTGTCCAGTAAGATAACCAAAGAGGTTGGGCAAGAGACTTGGAGCAAGTGCATGGTACACTTGCTAATTGGTACACATTGCTAATTGTCTATAAGTAGTGACAAGTTCAAAAACATATGAATTTTTATCTGAAATTTTTATCTTTATGGATTTCATATACAGTCCAACCCCTATTAAGTGGCCACCCTCGGGGAAATGGAAGTGGCCGCTTAATAGGGGTTGGCCGCTTTTAAATAGGGGTTCGTCAGGAATTGGTATGAAACTTACGTAAAACGTCCATGTATTCAAATACAGGCATGCTTGAAGGCTTTTAACCTCTGCTGGGCACAATAAAGCGTTTAAAAATCGCACAAAACAAATCTTAGGAAAATGCTGAGATAAGGTCACAACATGAATCAGTTACCTTGAAAAGTTAGCGACATGTAACGACATGGTAATATTAATCCAGTGATTAATTGCATAAATTCAATTTTAAGGAAATCTGACGATGAGGTCTCAACAAGAACCAAATAACACATATAAAATTCCCCATATTGACAAAACTATCAAACATGTCGCAGAAGCAAAAGATCGTTACTTAAAATAATCCTGGCGACTCGTTTGTCGCTTTGGAGCTCGAAGCGGTTCAATAAACGTGTGTTCAGATGTATTTAGCCGTCGTTGCTGTCTATTTCGGACTCTTATCTGTCATCACCTTATCACAAACAAATCCAAAGCACGCATATTTAATTTTGGGTGGCCGCTTCATAGGGGAAAAAAACAATAAAAACCTCCATCGGGACGACCAAAAGGTGCCCGCGCTCGCTTAATAGGGGTGGCCGTTTAATTGGGGTTTCATTTATAGTATTTAACTGAAAATAATTTCGGGGCTTTAATAACTGGCCGCTTAACAAGGGGTGGTCGCTTAATCGGTGGCCGCTTAATAGGGGTTGGACTGTAAAAAAGTTCCCGAAATTTTGCGATTTAAGAAATTTCAAACCACTTGCACTATCAAACAACAACAAATATATGAAACATATGTATGAACTGCGGTTATGAAACGTATATGTGCACGATCCTTCGCAGCTGCACTAGTATCGCAGAGGTCAGTGGTTCGAATCCCGTACAGGCCTGAAATTTTTTTCAGGTCTGATTTTCACTATTGCTCAAATAGTGCTTTACTGCGAAGGATCGTGCACATATACGTTTCATAACCGCAGTTCATACATATGTTTCATATGTTTGTTGTTGTTTGATTTATCATCTACGGGTTTATGTCGAATTAATTTGATGGCCTGCTCCCAGTTGGCTTGTTAGCTCAATTGGTAGAGCGCTGCACTAGTATCGCAGAGGTCAGTGGTTCGAATCCCGTACAGGCCTGAAATTTTTTTCAGGTCTGATTTTCACTATTGCTCAAATAGTGCTTTACTGCGAAGGATCGTGCACATATACACTTGCACTATGATAGGAATATAAATCTAACAATTGCGTGACACATAAGTCACGCAGGTTTGCATGCGGTTTTCGGTTTTGATCGAATTTTTTTGCGGTTTTGCTGTTTCTAATGCGGTTTCCAATGCCCCCCTTATGATTGTCTCAAGAGTAAAAGATTCGTCGTTGAAGATCATGCCATAACTCCTGCTGGAATTGCGAAAACGTTGCCCTTTCTCCATCTTCACAGAAAGACGTGCCATGACAATAACTTTGCGTCACCTTCTTATTTGTGCTGAAAAGCAGCTTTGAACTGATAGAACTTCAACCAAACAACATAAACTGTAGGGGTAAAAAGGCATTTTGCTCTCAGCCACCCCTGAGAGAAGTTTTCTTCATGTTCATTTTCGATCTTGACTATGGCAATTTCTAATGGTCACGCGCCACTGCTTATTCAACGAGTGAATGACAAGGGATTCATGTTGAGGATACGGGAAGAAGTAACTAAAATAAACCTTGGATCCTAAACTTTCATGAGTTAAACACGTTCACCGGCCGTTTTGGGAGTTGCATTTGTACATAGTAGAGATCTAGATTTAGATTGAGACCACCCTGTAAGAACAGATGGAAACATTGAGGAGCCAAAACCTGAGAAATGTTTGCAGGACCGTAGCTAGCACGAGGCAAGACGAGGCAATTGCCTCGTCTTAATTTTGGCCTTTTTAAATTTTTTTCTTAAAGATTGACTTTTCTGAAGAAAAATTCCACGGAAAATCCTTAAAAGAGCATTTCTAAACCTCTAGATTTCAAAGTTTTCTAGGGGGCATGACCCCAGGCCCCTCTAGCGGCTCGCGCCTTCGGCGCTCGAAACTTGCCTCGTCTTGTCCTGAAATCTGGCTACAGCCCTGGTCTGCAAGTTAACATACCTTATTATTGAATCTACGATGTCTCTCACCACATTCTTAATTGAGTGTGATTTCGCAGATTCGTGTACGGAGTCTTCTCTTGACCACCGATGGTCAAGCAAGTAAGGAAGAGAAAATGGATGTGGGTAGGCCACACGCTGAGAAGACCTTCAAACAGCATTACGAGGCAAGCCCTGCGTTGGAATCCACAGGGAAAACGAAAGAGGGGCCGCCCCAAGAATACCTGGAGGAGGGATACGGAAAAAGAGATGAAGGTCCTCGGGAAGAACTGAAAGGAGCTGCAACAGCTGGCAGAAAAGAGGCGTCAGTGGCGGCAGTTTGTCGATGGCCCATGCTCCAACCTGGAGCCAGGGGCTTAACTAACTAACTGACTAACTAACTAACTAACTAACTAACTAACTAAGTCTTCCATCAAATTAAATTTCTGCTTCAGTCAAATGCAGCTAGCGTGAAAAAAAAATTTTTTTCTTCGAATGTCACGTAATTCGCTAATTGATTGGCATGGCAGCCTTCGGAGAAGAACCAGGCTATCGCCCATGAGCGATGTGTGTTTCCTGGGGGAAGAAATTTGGTTTTTAAATTAAAATTCCTATAAAAAACACGAAGGCACAAAGAGCGGCTGTATTTTTCAGTCTGGCATAGCATAGGTAGATGACATATTATTTTCATTGAACCCTTTGATCGCCTGTTCTCTCTTTTTTTTTTTTTGTGGCAGCGAGCAGAAAGTAGAGAATGAGAGGGAGTGGGGATTTTTATCTGCTATTTATGATAGGTTGCCTTTGTTCAGTTAAGGAGCCCGTGAACCTTCCAAAGGCTTTCCTTATATCTCTCGAGGGAAAACGAACATTTTTTCTTTCTTTTCTTATTTGACTTTCTTTTTTCAATGGCTCTGCTGTTGTTGAGGTTCTTTAGCCATGACCACCAGTCATATAAATTACGGACCCTTTTTTTCGATTCCTTCTTCATCCAAATGATAGGAATAAAAATAATAAATATTATAACGATGATAATAATAAGCACAAACTCTTTGGGTTTTTCCCGAAGATTACGTTTGGTAAAAAAAATTGAACAATTCTCATACAAATATGGTGTCTTTGGGTAAGTATGCAGCATTTTGATTCGTGAATAAACAATTCGTTTATGAAGAGTGACTAGAATCTTCACATTTTACATTTTTCATAGCATTCGCTTGACCTTTGCCTCTGACGTCAGAAGCATCAAATTATTCATGACATTCATTCATGACCCTTTTTCTCTGAAATTTTTTCCTAGCAACAATTACACGTTCGGAAGAGTCGAGACGGACAGAAGGAGAGGTATTAAAAAATTTAATGGACTGCGAAAAGATGAATAATTTATCTCAAATTTAGCTCGAATCTCTTGATAGTCAATATGAAAAACTATTTATTCTGGTAACTGTCGAATGAAGCGAGGTTTTTGGGAGCGAAGGAATATGGGAGAAAATTAATGTTAGAAAATATGTTGAAAATAGTTTGCCATGTCTTCCCTGGCGCCTTCTTCGGTTTGCAGTCTTTGCAGCTTGCTTTGTTTAGACTGACAAAGAATTTCAACTTTAGTTTCACCAACCAAAGTGCTTGTCAAATTAACAAACAAATGATTATTTTGCTCGGCACTGATTGGTCGGTCAATATTGTCGGTCTGGGCCAAAAGACCCCCTCCTCATAAATTACCGAAAAAGTGGTTCGCCACTCACACCAGCACATCGATAGAAATGTCGGCTGCCGATTTCGACTCACTTGATTTCATCATTTTCCAGCCAGATTCGAGCAGAAGCAAGGTAGGAAAGAGAAATAACATTCATGTGCGCGAATTTTGCAACAGCTGTGTTACCATGTGATCTCTCACGCGAGGGGTCTCTGGAGGCGCTTACTATAAACTTACAAATCCTTTTAACAAGAGCTAAAGCAATCGCAGAATTAGATTCTTTTGTAGGAAATAGTCCTGCTGGAAGAGAGAATATAACCCTCTCGTGATCGCTGATCGGTTAAGAAAAAAGGATCACCTAGAGTTGAAAATTTTTTACCTTGGGACACAACTTCGGTACGTAAAAACGCGACTTGAGACAGCTGTGTTCACCGCAAATTTGGCTTCATTGTAACGTGATTTCGATTCCATTTTCTCTTAAATCGGACAGACGTCTGAACTCTTGTATTTCGAAGATTCAAGGACAAACTCTATCTTACAAGACGGCAAGGAGACGCAAAGATGTCTTGTAACATCACCACCTTTCCGATTTTTTTATGCCATTTCTTTGGGTGTGCCAATTGGAACTAAAAATTCTGTTGCGATCTTCTCGCATGTCTTTAATTGTTTCTTATTACTGGAAACGCTCAATTGAAAGCTCAAGGTTTCCTTAGTGGATAAAAATAACTGAAATGCTTCAAGTAGCTTGCTTGAATTTTCTGAGGGTTTTTTGTGATCGGCATTGCCTAGTTCACCTTCAGTGGAATGCAACAACAAACAATGTAAATGTCCCTTCGTGTCCCTTTGTTGATAATGTGGAATGCACATTGTTTGATGTCACTAGCAAAGAAAACTCGGTTTTAAACCCTCTTTGGTAACTGTCAACCAATTTCAAGTGTTACGATAGCGATCTTTTTATTTAAAAGATTACTTTGAACTCAGCAACGCTACTTGGAGACTTCACATTGAAATACAGTTTAATTTTTATTTTACATTATTCAAATTCGTTTTGTAAACACAAAATTAGCGTAGCATTAAGCTAACAGTGTAGCAATAAAAGTAATGATAATAAGACAGCTAGAACATAGTTTATTGCAAACCATCCTCCTGTATTTCCATTTCTGGTCAAGTTGACAAGTTGAGAGATGACCTCGAATATGAAAGTGTGACACGAGAATTCTATTCATTTGTTAAATTGCTACGCTTGAAGAGGATAAGAATTATTAATTACTTCCTAGAGACTTGGTCATGGTCAGCTGATTCCTATGTCTACTAAATTTTTATGGGTTCATGCTCAATTTGCAGTCAAAACTTCAATGCAGAAAAGATGAATTTTACATTCATTAGTTTATCAACTGTAGTATGTTGTGACATTCCTGTGTCTTCTGTTCATTGTTAACAATCAACAGGGGACAGAGAGTGAACTAAACATGGCCAACTTGAATCACTATGCTAGAATGAAAAATCCCATGGTTGAATAGACAAAGCTATTAGCTGCTGTGCTACGTGTAAACTGTCATGCACTTAAAGAAAAACACACCACTTCCATCTTTTCCACAATTGAATTAACCATACACAGTGTAGCCACTCTGTGGACTCTGACATGAACTTAAAAACTTGGACCAACTTTCTTGCAGTAAGTGCCACTGCTTAGCTGCACTTTTCAACTTATCACTGGAAGGAGTAGAAAATGTGCCATGCAGTGGGATCCTTTTAAACAATCACATACCTCCTATGTACCACAATCAATCACCACTGTACTGTTAGATGTGTAACCAAAACTCACAATTTTCCCACCAAAACACACAATTTTCCCACGCTTGGCACTGATGTGTTGTAATTAATACAAAGTATAAGTGGCTGATCTTAAGATTGTTTATTTTATATTCTTATTCTTTATGGTTATAACAAAATTGTTTTGGTTGAGTTTGGTTTGGACAAAGATATACACAAGGTTATTATTCTACATAACCCATGAAAGGCTAGATAGAAAAAAATCTCTCATCCATCTCAAGATGTATTTAGATAATAGCCATGCCTAGAGAAAAGAAAATTGAACTTATTTCCATTCCCCTACCATGACAGCTAGCTATCCTCCAGTGTTATGCTGGTTAACACTAGGGGGACAAGGAGGGGGGTTATGAAACAAACTTGACAAGGGGGTGTTCTTTTTACTTTATTTAGCCAGATAAGGAATAAAACTGATAGTCTCCATTTAAGATACAATGAAATATATGAAGTTCATATATTTTGAACTGCGGTACTGGATACATATGATGCACGATCCTCGCAGTAGATAGCGCTATTTAAGCAATGCGAAAATCACACCTGAAAAAAATCAGGCCTGTACGGGATTCGAACCACTGACCTCTGCGATACTAGTGCAGCGCTCTACCAATTGAGCTAACAAGCCAACTGGGAGCAGGCCGTCAAGTTGATTCGTAATATGAACTTCATATATTTCATTGTATCTCATTTATCACTTTCACGGGTTTATTACGAATCAACTTAACGGCCTGCTCGCAGTTGGCTTGTTAGCTCAATTGGTAGAGGGCTGCACTAGTATCGCAGAGGTCAGTGGTTCAAATCCCGTACAGGCCTGATTTTTGTCAGGTCTGATTTTCGCTATTGCTTAAATAGGGCTATCTACTGCAAGGATCATGCATCATATGTAGTCTTCATTTAAGTAACATTTTAGTTTTCAATAATTTTTTTCAGTAACATATCATATACCTGGAACCATACCAATATGATATTATTTCAAAACTCTACAGGAGCCATTTGCTGCTGGCGAGATTGAAGGGCAGCCATGCCTAGACTGCTGTAACTGTCGAGGACTCTCTTCTCATCCATGGAGGTGAGACTGAAGTCAGAATCAGTGGTGGATCCAGGGGGAGGGTCTGGGGTGTCCGGACCCCCCCTTTCAGACCCGACGCTTACAACTTTGAGAATGAAATTCTTACATCGACAGGATCATATATCACTTTTTAACTGGCTGATTTTTTTAATTTATGAATGCAAGTAAACGGTAAGCAGCCAAGGAATTATAAAGCGCAACCATGACTGGTGGGAGGGGGTGTGTGGGGTGTTGGGGAGAAGTATTTTGGCTCAAAAGAGTTCAACAGTCCTTTCTGAACCAAAGTTTGGACCCCCCCAATCAAAAATTCCTGGATCCACCCCTGAGAATAGCCCATTTTACAGTTGCATGCTTGGTTTTCAAGCCTTTGAACAAGAGTGTGGCTAAGGGTGACCTTGTTATGATACAAACCTTGCCGTTTTTCAAGTGTAAATTACCTTGTTATCATGCTAACTAGATATCACAATAAGGTCACCTTGAGCCTCACTCTTAAACAAAGGGGCTTGGCAACTAAGTACACAACTGTAAAATGACCTATTTGTACTAGATGGGCATCAGAATAAAGAAAATATTCTTTAAACCTGTGACAACTTTTCCTGGATAAATCTGTTCTGTATTATTATAATCGCAGAGAAATCAACTGAATGCTACATTCTAATCAAGCAGCATAGGGCAAAAACCGTAACCTGTGAGCCATGGAGTAAAAAATAAATGTACATTAACTAATCTTAAAAAGCTTTTCCGTTGTGTCCTCCTTCTAACAGGAACTCAAACTGCTACCTTGAAAGTCCGGGCGGAATATTCAACGTGCCCGAGAGCACTGCCCTCTGCATCTTTCGCAGTACATCTGTGCTTCTGCCTCTCACCAGCTCGCGCATTATGACATCCAGCTCCCGCGACCACCCCCCGATGGCATCCATTATGATGTCATCTTGCTTCACCTCGTAGCCTAGGAACTGCTGCCTTAGTTCCCAGCGAAGGGGTCCGTACTTATTATTATTTTTATTAGTATTGGCAGTACAAACGTCTGGATGCCCAGGGTAAAGATTAAAAGCCTAGGCTGGGTGGCAAACCGTAACCAGCCACAGCATCAACTACAACTTATGACAACAATTACACAATAATTTACACAAAAAAAGAAAAGCAAGCAAACCAACACACACAAAAAAAGAAAACCTGATTTGATAAGAGTGTCAAAAATATATAAGTAACTAAATTAAATCCTAAAGGCTTAATGGACGTCTTAATTACAAAAGAAAACTGTTCATAAGTTGAAAAACATTGTTCATATAGCTGTCCATTTTCCTATGGGAACCCTAAGATACGTAATAAAATCTCGAAAATGTGCGAGATAAAATTTCTGTCAAAATGGGTGTCCAAAATTCCTTAAGATGTCTAAACGCTCAGCTTGAAAATTCTAGCAATGTGTAATGAACCAGACAGGATTGCTTTTTGCATTTGGTGCATAACTGATTCACACATTATTATTATTATTATTATTATTATTATTTTTATTATTATTAT